CGAGTCTGCTGCAGGGGAGCCGCGTGCTCGGACGGAACGGCCCCGCTGCCACTCGGAGCCTTTGCTTTTGCCACGTGAGTTCTGTACAAGCCCTCGTCGGGGCTGGACGAGCACGGAAGACCTCACACGTGGCCCACGTGCTTGGCAGGTTCGTGAGTGTGGTTGGCTGCGTGCTGCTCCTTTGCTTGATAGATTTGTGTCTGAGGTTTGTGTTCCTGGCAACATTTTGGATTTGTGGTTTTAAAAGAAAAAAAAAAATCAAGGACATGAACCTGTAAAAATTTGTGTCTAGCGTCTTGGTTACTCACTCTCAGTGGGGGAAGGAAAAAAACAAAAGAATGACTCGCAGGGCAAGCGGCTTCGAGCCCGTACTCCATCCAAGCCCCCTCGGGCTGCCAGGTGAAGCTCCCGTTCCTCAGAGGGAGAAACTGAGTCTGGGTGGTGGGGGTTGTCTGGCACGGGTCTGGCGACTTTCCTGGCTGTGCTCCCTGGCCTCACTGGCCGGGGGTGGGGGGTGCAGCAGGCCTTTTCGGACCCCGAAGCTCAGGGCCACAGGAGGCTGCCAGCTGTGGGTATCAACGTGACCCCCCCATTGGGCCCACTCCCGGCTGGTTGATGCCAGGCCTGACTCAGTTTCCACCACCCGCCCACCCTGCAGCCGACAGCTATGCCCGTTCGCTACAACTATGCAGGACGCCCCTAAGCCTGCTTCTGCGTCTGAGGTGGGGGACAGGACAAGCCACACGGGGTCTCCCTGAGGATTCAACTGAGCTGTTCCACCTGGGACACCTGCGCCTTCTCTCTGTGGACGCCGAGAAGCCATGCCTGACCCCGCACCGCCCCCAAGCCGAGGCCCAGGGCGGGCTGCAGACAGCGGTGACGGGCTGACCCCCAGTGGAGAGGGGACACTCGGCCCACGCTGCTCAGCTCCCCACCCCGATTCCCCTCCAGGTCTGAGCACAGAGGTCACACCAGAGACTTCTCTCCCTGCATGGGACGCCCACTGGCACTCCTGAAGATTCCCACCGCCAGCTCAGGTCTGCCTGCCCTGGCATCCTCACACCAGCACCGTGGATTCCTGTCAGGGTCAGGTACACAAACCTGCCCCTCCCTGCCCTTGCCGACTGGAGGGCGACTGAGTTTGGCAGGCACCGCGCCTGTCCCGGGCTCCCAGAGGGCGGCTACTCTTTCTAGAACTGCACCCCAGGGTCATAACTGACACCGGGAAAGGATGAGGGCACAGGCCCCAGACACCGGCCTGTGGGGCTGCTCACCAGAGCCCCGCTCCCTCTAGGGGCCCCAGGAAAGCCCACGCGGCACTTATCACAAACCCAGGCGGCCACGCGAGGACGCCCCTGGGAAATCTGGAAGCCAGCCAGCCCTCAGGCCCTGACCGCCAGGGCGACCCACACCTGCTGACCTTCTTGGTGTAGCCCATGGCCTTCAGGACAGAGTGGTTCAAGGTCTCCAGGGAGGCCAAGACGTCCTCATAGTCCCCCATGTGGTCCACAAAGTAATCTGGAGGGGAAAGCAACCATGAGGGCTTGAAATGCCTCCCCTGGGCCCCCCCACATGGCCCCCATGCCAGCCCCAGGGCCCCCATGCCAAGCCCCAAGCGTGGCCCCTGCATAACCCAGCACCTACCACACAGCTCCTTGGTGTCCACGTGGCTAGAGAGAGAGAACGAGGGGACTCAGGGCCAGGCCGGCCGACTGCCCCCGCCTCAGCCCCTCCTGCACAGCCCCACGGGGGCATGACCCAGCCATGCTGCCTTTATCTGGGCGCTGGTGCCCGCTGCACAGATGAGGGAGTGGCAGGGAAAGGGCTGTCCTCGGAGTGGACTGTCCTCGGGCTGTCTGACCCCACCACCTCGCCGCCCACCGCTTTCCCTTCCCAGCCTGCCAGTCTCCTCCTGAGCAGGAGCGAGGGCAGGGCCAGGGGGGCCCATGACACTGCTGGTGGGTAAAAGATCTCTCCCCACATCCCCGCCTGCTGGGTCCTGGGGGCCCAGGGGCAGCCCCCCTTGTTCTTGCCCCAGCCTGGTCTTTCCCAGCATGAAGGGGCCAGTGAGGGGGGCCTAGCGGCCCAGGGCAGATGGACAGTGAGCCGCGGGGGTCAGGCACCCACCGAGGGACTTTGTGTGTTGGGGGGCTGGCTCCTGGCTTCCGCAAGCTGCCTCCGGGAAAAGGCCCCCCGACCAAACGAATCTGGGTTCTGAGCTCTGCAAGCTCTGCTCAGAGGCACAGCCCAGGCTCTGACGCCTCCTCTCGCTAGAAGTACGCTGCCCTGACCTTCCCGAGCCAGAGGCACCGAGCAGGAAGCTGAGCGCCCAGGGCCGGCGCTTACGCCCACCTGGGACACTGGCGAGGTTTGCTGACCTTCTGAAGAGCCGCCCCCACTCCCAGATGCTCTCATTCGACTCTCGCTCCTTCTCCCCTGCCCAGCTGGCCCACACAAAAGGCACCACGGAGAAGGCACAGATCAGTGAGTAAATCCGGGAGCACCTGCGCCTGCCCTTTCAAAGCTTCCCCAGGGGGCTCTGGGGCCAGGGGGGCCCCGTCTGGCTCCAGAAACTCGGCCTTCAGCGAGTATCAGATGGAAGCTGTTTCTCCCCCCCCCCCAGCCTCCCAGGCCTCACTCATCCCCCATCTCTGGTGCAGGAGCTCCGTGTCCTCTGCACACCAGCTGCTGCAGCCTAGTCCAGGCCACATCTAGCCAGCCTCAGGGACCCCAAGATAGCAAAGTTGCCCTGAGCACCCCGTGCTTATCACCTGAGTGGACGGAGGAAGGTGCCCAGATGTGGGGTGCCCAGGGGGGCAGGCTGCTCCAGGCTGGGGAGGGGGCTGGGCTGGAGCACGATGCGTACTTGGCATGCGGTGCAGGGTGAGCAGAGCTCGAGTTTTGGGTTGATCCAGGGTGCACAGTAGGGTTTTGAGGCCCAGCAAGAGGGAGGGTTCAGGGTGGGGCCGGGGCCTGGTCTGCTGTAGTTGGGAGCTGGTGCTGGGACCAGCAGGAAACCCAAGGCATGGGAGTCCGGGGGGAGGCAGGCTGGGGTGGAAGGGGGTGCCCCATTTTCATTTCTGTGTATATGCTGCAGAAATTGGGGTCTCTCCCTGCTCAGCCATGGGGGCTCAGAAAAGAATCTGTAATAGAGGCCCCCCACCCACCCGACATCGCCTGGCCAGGGACGCCGGTGAGAGCTAACTGGTGAGAGCTAACTTCAAGAGTTTGGGGGGTTGGGCATCCTGTCCCCTGCGGGGGAGCAGAAAACACAGACTAGACGCTGGGTGACGGCGGCTCACTTGGTGTTGTCCGAGTCGATGGTGTGGAAGAGGTCCTCCAGCTCTTTCTCGTCGAGGACGCCGTCCGCGAAGAAGAGCTGGAACTCCTCCAGGGACAGCCTCCCGTCGTCTGCGGGGCGGGAGCGGGCAGCTGGACTCCAGGGGAGGCCAGCCCGCGGCGGGCAGCCCAAGCCCACGGCCGACCTCCGGTGGGGCTGCCTCTGCCCGCCCCGCCAGAGCCCCAGCGGACAGACAGAGGCTCCCGCTTATCACCAGGGCCCGCCCGTGAGCTCCCAAACTACCAGCTGAATTCACTTTAGATAATCCCGGCAGCCAGCTGACGCCTGAGCTAACTCCCGTTCCTGAGAATCAGGGACCACACTGCCAGGAGCAGCTTGTTACGGGCCTGGCTGCCCGAGCCACGGACCAACAGGGCCCACCTGGGCCCCCCCCACCCCCCGGCCGCTCCGTGTTCCCTGCTGCAGCTGATCTACCTCAGGGCCGCCAGCCCGGAGGAGCTGGGTTCAGAGCCAGCCAGCGCGGGTCACCTCTTTGTCCCTGGTGCCCAGCATCCCCCCTGCACTTAGCATCTCCGACCCCACCCCACAGGCCCTGCTCTGGGCGAGGGAGGGCCCCTTCCAGGCTGCCTCACCTACAAAGCGGCCGGGCCCACGCAGAGGCCACAGTTGGCATGGCGTTCTTAGCCGGCCACGACGCCCAGCCGCTAGGGGAGGAGGCCTCAGGCCCAGTCGGCCAGCACTGCCCTTCCTCTGGGCTGGGGCGGCTGTGGGAGCAGGTGCCGAGGAGGGCCCCCGCGGATGCCTGCCTCACCCACCCCGCGCCCCGCCCTCGCCTCACCTCTCCTGTTTTCACTAGCACCGTGCTGGGCACCAGCATCTGCTGGGGAAGAGTCTCCTGGGCAGTGGAGGGGGGTGCAGACAGCAACTCATGGGGTGCACAGAGCACAGGGGCTTCAGGAGAGCAGAGCCCAGGCTGGGCCTCAGCTGCGCTCACCTGATTCAGCCCTGGCAACCTCAGCCCCCGCCCCCTTGCCGAAGGCCTCAGAAACTCCCTTTCCTTAAAGGAGCCCCTCAGTGGGAGACAGGAGAGGCCTGAGGCTTCCTGCCAGCCCCCTCTGCTGCTTTGGCATCAAAGCTCCCGCCAAGGGGTGTGGACAAGGAGGGTCGCCCCTTCCTACTGGGGTGAGGAAGGGGCCCAGCCAGTGTTGGGGCTCTTAGGCTGGGTGTGGCGCTGGCTCTGAGGTTGGTCGCTTCAGGGGTGAGCCCTTGTATGGGGTGTGGCAGGCACAGAGCCAGGCTCCAGCAGCTTTGGGGGGCTTAAGGGGGGGCACGAGGAGCAGCTCCGAGAGGAGAGGCTCGCATCCGCCTGGCTCCCCTCCACACAGCAGGGAAGGCAGAGTAGGAGCTGGGGTGTGTGGGGAGGGTGGGGTCTGCAGGCATCACCCCAACCTGTCTCCAACATCTAGGGTCCAGTTTCGGTGTCACACAGGGAGAAAAAGTCTGTAATTTTCAAAAACAATCTTCTCCCCTCAAGCCACCGCCACCCCCAACCCTAGCACCAGCCCCGCACAGCACAGGCTCTCAGCGGTGACCCAGCACAGCATCGTGCGACCTGAGACTCACCCCTCCTGTCTCCACAAGTAGTGTGGCCACCCCCTTTTCTCAGAGGGGTAAACTGAGGCACAGAGCTGGCGTGTGAGCCCATTTGGCTCCCAAGGCCATGTTCCTGACCGGACCCAGGGAGAAGGAAGGAAGGAAGGTTGTCACAGTGGACTGGCCATGCAGGAGCCAGGGAGCCTGGCCCTGCTTCTTCCCGCCGCCCCCCTTGTCCCCCGTCTGTCTGCACTCAGCAGCACCCCAGAGGCCACCAGGACTCCCTGCACAGAGCCAACGCCACCTGGCATGCGGCGCCGCAGATCAGCTAATGAGCGAGACACCTCCGGGCCAGGCCTCCGTCCAATTAGTCCAGCTGCCTGCACCTGCACTTCCGCACAGGCCCCGAGCCTGGCGTTTGAGGGGTCTCCGCTAATGGGCCTGAGCTCAGCCTCTGTGAATTTCCAAATGCCAGGAGTCTGTGTGTGTCCGCTCCCTGGAGGGAAGCGCAGCCTGGCACCCCCTCCTTGGGCACCGGAGCTGCAGGGGGCCTCACTCAGCTCCAGTGACGCCTGCTGCGCCTGCCTGCGGGGAGTCTCTGTTCAGGGAGCCAGCGGGCAGGCCAGCGGGGCAGGCCAGCGATCACGAGACCGCGCCACTTGCCTCCCCGCCACCCCCGCTCCTGTGGATGCCCGGGCAGGGCCCGCAGGAGGTGTGCGTGCGTGCGTGTGCACGCCCAGTGTGTCTGCCCATATCCACACTGGCTCCAGCCCCCCGCTGCTGTCAAGCTGTGCTGTGCTGAACCCGTCTGCTCTGCTCCCCAGCTGGGATCTGGGATCTCTCTGTCCCTCCCTGTCTGCTCCGAAAAGGAGGGTGCTGCTGCCCATTCCAGGAGAGTCACAGCAAATCCAGCCAGAGGGTCTTGCTGGGGTGCAGGAGCACTCAGCCCTCAGCAGCTGGCAGGGGCAGAGACCTGGAATATGCCCGCGCAGGGCTTGTGTGCACACAGCAAAGGCCCCCAGAGCCCCACCGCCGCACACACCCCCTCGTGCGCTCAGCGTCGGGGACCCGCTGCCAGCCGGCACCGTGACCGGCCACAGGGACAAGCCTCAACTTCCATCCGGGATGACCTCCCCGGCTGAACAGAAACCAGGGGACCCTTGTGGGCCGCCCCACGCTGTCGCTCCGTGCTGCGCAGGCCTGGTCCAGCACCAGGAAGCCCCAGGGGTGGGGGTGAGACAGGGAGACCCCGACTTCCTGCCCAGGCTGTAAGCCCCTCCCCTCCCCAGCCTCACTCTCCACCCCAGTATCATGGGGTAGAAGGGTCAGCAGTGACTCCCAGGACAAGGATGGAGGGGCCACGGGGCCCAGGGTAGAGCTGCCGCCTTGAATTCCTATCTCCACAAGAGAGGGGCTGGGACGCAAGGGCCCCTGGGCTGCCAGGTCACCGCCCCCCACTCCTTCCCCAGCCTGGGCCAGGATTCTCAATCGGTATTTTCTCAATGAACGAAGAAACGTTGGCTTCTTGATTGTCCCTTTAAAAAGCTCGTCACCCACATCTCCGTGGACTTTCCCCAACAACCCAGGGAAGCAGACAGGTTAAGCATCAAAACCCCCCTTTACAGATGGGGAAACTGAGGCCTAAAGAGACAATGTTTGCTTAAAGTCCACAGAATCGCTTTGGGGGCAACGACACTAGAAACCTGTAAGGGGTGTGACGCGCACACGGAGAAGCCGTCGCCGCCGGGAAGCCCGCGTGGGTGGAGCCTGCCCGGGAAGTGGGGAGAAGGGTGCCGTGAATTCTCGGGCCCAACAACATGCTGCCACATCGTGGGACGGCCGCCTGGCGTGGGGCCGCACAGCACGCGCCTGCAGCACAGCCGCTCTGGCCGTCACGCAGGGCCACCGTGCAAGCCGCTTACGCTTTCCGGGCTGCCGTGGAGCTGCTTAGCGGGAGCAACGCAGAGCCTGAGTCAGGGAAGGGCTGGGAAGGGCTGAGAGTGAGCCTGGGGCGCCCTTCAAGGGGTCCTCTGGGCCCCGCCCGCAGTGCCCTGACCCTGGCCCGCTGCGTGAGGCTCACGTACCCCACGCAGCCGGGCACAGTCCTGTCAGACAGACCTCGCGGCACCCCTCCTAAGAGGGGCTTCCTGGGGAAACGGGGGTACAAGCCTTCCGACTTCAGACTCCTATGAGGTCCCTGAGGTCCACGGTGTCCATGTCCCTAGTGCCGCCCCGCCCCCTGAGGCTCAGGTCAGAGAGAGCCAAGCCCTCACCCGATGGGCAGCCTGGGAGGGTAACTCACCATTTTTGTCTGCCCGGCGAAAAATCTGCAAAGAAGAAGGGTCCCGTCAGCCTGGGAGACTGAGGCCCCACTCCCCTCCCCAGAGAGGGGCACCCCCCCACACGGGGCTGGAAGGCAGGGGTGGGGGAGGGCTCCTCAGGGGGAGGCCTGGTGGCTGGCCGCTGTGGAAGCCGCCGCCCACTCTCCCTCTGCGCCACCTGCCCACGGCCGCCTGACAGACACACGGACGCTGGACGCTGGCTCACGCCGTCCGCACGCTGGTGGGCGTGCCCCAGAGCCGCTGGGCCCCACGGCTCCCCCCACTGTCACCCAGTCACCCACTGCGATTAATGCCCCATGGGGTGGCCATGCTCCTTACACTGTTGCCCCAACCAGAGCTCCTGGGGAGCCCCAGTTTTCTCCAGGGAGGTGGGTTCAATGCGAAGGCAGGTGCTGCTGAGGGAACCTCGAGGGCTGGGCCCCAGGCCACCAACTTGACAGCACGGGATTATGGGGGGGGGGAGAGCAGAGGCTGGCGGCATGGGAGGTGGAGCCCCCAACCCCCAGGCCGAACTTGAGACCAGAGAACTCCTCTTCCTGGCACTTTGGGGACCAGGTCAGCCGTGCTGATGGGAGGGGGGAGATACCACCCTCCTTGTACCTCCCCTCTCCGCTCCAAGCGATGGGGTGCAGCAAGCAGCAGCTCGGGGGGCTTCCTGAACATGACCTGTCTCCCTTAGCTAAAATCCTGTCTGGGGGATTGGAGGGCGCCTCTGAGCTGGGGCGGAAGACCACCTCAGGCCCCCTTCCACGACAGCCCAGGGCCCTCCACCTCTGCTCTGATGGCAGCGTTCCGTGACGGCCCGGGGGGCCTTTCCCTGGACGCCTGCCCTGGGCGGGAGTGGCAAACCAGTGAGCAGCAGGACCTCTGCTGAAGCGGCTTTGGGGCCCCGCTGCTCATGGGCACATTTCAGAGGAGGGCTTGGGGGTCCAGGTCCTGCTCCCGCAGAACGGGGGGGTCCATGCCCGCTGCTTCGCTGCGAGAGTCTGGACAGGGTGCCCTGTAAGAGCGAGCCTGGGTCTATGCACTCAGCAGCCTGGCATTCAGCCCCAAGTTGGCCGGGGCCTTGAGAGAGGGGCCAGCGGTGCAGGGGTCTGGCCACCAGCACCCACAGCACAGTCCCCGACCCTGGTACCTCCCTGTGCCCTGGGGTTCCAGGAGAGAGGCAGGGAACAGGGAGGAAACGCATGCTCCCCCATACCCCAGGGACATGTGGGGTGTACACACACACAGGCGTACCTTTCCTGGAAGCTCATGACAGGCGTGAGGCGCCCCCCTTCCGTACCCTCCCCTCACGGGATGTTCACTGTGACATGCACCTCCCACCCTCATGCTGTCACTAGGGGGAACCCAGGATAAAGCCCCCCATGCCCTCCAGCCTTTACTGGCTCTCTCCCTCATAACAGAATCTCCTTTTCACCCCCTGGGGTGACGGGGGAGTGGGAGTGGGCTTCTTGGGTGGGTGGTTTAGGTCTGGAGGGCACAGGAGGTGGGTGCGGCACAGGGTGGCACAGTGGGAAGGAGTGATGGAGGGGAATCCGGTGGATGGGGGTGGCTGTGGGACTCCCGGAGGGAGGGTCCAGGGTCAGGGTGGGTGGTAGGTGGTGTCCAGTCCTGTGGAAAGGAAAGGGGAGCGAGGTGGGGAGAGGTCTCCATCCTCAAAGACGGGGGCTGAGTGGAAGGGTCTTCCGGGATGAAAAGACAGGGCTCAGAGCCAGAAGTCAAATGTGGAGGTGGGCTGGGAGCTAGCGATTGGGGGGCGGGGGGTAGGGAGGTCTCAGAAAAGTAGAGCACAGGGCCACCGACCAGATGCAGCAGGCAGGACGGGAGGAGTGGTGAGGGGCTGGGAAAGAAGATGAGGATTTCCCCAGCTCACAGGCGGTGGCGGGCTGAGGTGTCCAGGGTCCCAGTTCTGGGAGGTGGGGATCCCAAGAAGTGCAGAGAGGTGACAGGAGAGAGGGTTTAGCAGGTCTCGGGTGGAAACTGGCCAAGACCAGGAGGGGAGAGGGCTTTGGAGGGTCGGTGCAAAGGGGCTCGCGGTCCCGGGGCAGGGGCCACGGGGTCTGTGCCCTGAGAAGAGAGGGTGCGGGGCCCCGCGGGGTCCGGGCCCGCGCGTACTCACGTCCAGGATGACAGCGGTGCCCCCGTGCGGCGAGGCGGGGCGGGG